ATAGACCATGACTGAGGGGGCAGGGCCAAATAATCTCTATGGAAATGAGATAATTAGCCAATGCTTATACAACTGCATACCAAATATCATTGACCTACCACTAAGTGGTTCCCAATAAACTGACACTAATCACAAACTAATACATTGTTGCCGCTGTTGCCGCCGCCACAGCTGACGCCGCAAATGTCGTTCAAAACTGCATACCTAAAGTCTCACTTTTTTACTCCATCAAGGTGAGACAAAATGTAACCACAGACTGAACATATAGGCATAAAAAACATTGATGTCAGAGAAATTTTGGACTTTTGCCACAGGCAAGACATAACAGTTAATGAATTTACATATGGAATATTTTGTTCACATTAAAATCTTGACTTTAGTTTAAATTTGTTAAGCCTCCTCTTCTATATGATAGAGGTATTTACCAAAAATTATTTAGTTGAAAGGACTTCCCCGAGGGTATCACCAGCCCAGTAGCCAGTACTTCTGTACTGGCATGAAAATACAGACTTTTTTATCAAAATTTGCTGTTGCAAAATTTTGGAAATTCTTTTTAATTAAGGAATATATCTCCTTCATGCAAACCTCTGATTCCTTGCCCGACTTTGGCTATAACTTTTTGGAGTATATAGCTCTTCATCTTTTTAAAAAGCTTTGGATTTTCAAATATTTTGGCCTCGAGCATCACTGAAGAGACATTATTGTAGAAATGCGCATCTGATGCAGAAAAATTGGTACCGTTTATGTTAATACCCTTTTTTGCATCTACATACAGAAATTTTTTTTTTAAATCTATTATTTGAATGGTTTTCACTGAGAGACTGAGTAGAATTAAGCAGCTCAAATACAACACATTCAACACATTTAAGGGTTTAAGGGTAAAGATATAAGTTATCTCCCCTAGTTGTTTCTCTCCATTAGGAAGTGATACCCTTTCCTCATCCAGAGAAAAGGAAACACAATTACAAAGTTATCAAAGTACTTACAATTATCTTTTGTTATTTTTAAACCAAATTTTTTAGGGGGATTCCAACAGTCCTACCTTCAATATAATTCCTTGACAACAAAAGCAAAATTTAAGAAATATTTCAAGCAAAGCAAATTAACAGGATGATTTTTTACCCAAATGTTACTCTAAAACTTTATTTAGGTTGGGGACAACAACAACGCAAATAGAAATCAACAACACTCTTAATCTTGGCCCTACCCCCTAAAACAATAAAAAATGAAAACAAAAAAACCTGGCAACAATAACAACAGGAACAACAAAATATTTACTAGTATAGCAAAGGATGTACCATGGTATAAATCAAGATTCTGTTTACAGTATTATGTTTATTACAGCACTCCACCCTGCACAAATCATAAAACCTAGCTGGGATTATGACAGACTTCAGTAAGAATTATTTCTAACACAAAAACCTTAACATGATGATAACAATCACTTTTACACAATATGTTCAACATCTTGAAGATCTTGGCAAATTAGCAAAACTTTGTCAAAATGAACATTAACCTTATTGCTTAAGATTTGGGGAATCTCAACATTGTAATCTGTAATGAAAAGAAAGAATGATAATTGAAGTTTCTGACCTAAGCTAGGGAATGATTAAAAGAAAGATCATGTAAAATGCACTACCTGTTAGAATGTTAAATATCTAACAACAAAAGTTTTTCCTTATTTATAATTTTTCTGACAAACATAATTTTATCAATGACATAAGCCTGCGAGCACCTGCAACAACTTACAGGAAAAGTAGTATGTTTAGTATAAAAGTATTTAGTTGGAAGTCATACATTTCAGTATTGCTTAAGTCTCTTGGACATTCGATAAATTTTCATTGGAATCATGTTTGGTCAAGGAAAATTTAATTCTTTTTGAATGAACTAAATGTACAGTTAGAATTTACCATCTTCTATAGGAGAGCTGTTAAATTCCAACTGAGAAAGTCCAATCAGAACATCCCCCTGGTCCATTAGATGCTGATAACTTTCTGGACCAAATCTTTATCAACTAAAATCTGAGATCATCAGAATCAATGCACTTAAGTATTAAAAAAAGCTGCAGTAAAGAAATGAAGCTCAGGTCTGCTATAATTTACACTAGCTACTATAGATCCTTAAAAAATAGATGAATTGATTATTTGATTCGTTTAACAACATCTACACCTATAGTGTTGCTCTACAGTGGAAATTTATCAAACAGATATCTATATACCATTATCTGAGAAAGTCATGAATAACAAATACTATTTGATGAAGTAGAAAACAACATTTTTTAGGGACCAAATCTTATGTTAAATGATGACTTAAATCATAGATTTTCAGAATCAAATTCTGATAAAGCATCAACTTAATAAGTAACACAGTCAATGTTCAAAACTGCTACAATTTACACTACTGGTAAAAAAAATACCAATTAGTTCAATTGGTTTTTTTTTCACAGATTAATCTTTCTTTTTGGTTGATAAGTTCTTAATCTTTTTAGTTAGTTTTGGATTTTCAAATATTTTGGCCTCCAACATCGATCACTGAAGAGACATTTATTGTCGAAACGCACACCTGGTACAGAAAAAATGGTACCGTTAATTGTTATTAATAGTATTAAATAAAAAAGTCAAATAACAAAACCATTTGGTAAAGTGGAAACTGAAAATATTGGAACCAAATCTCTGCTGAAATCAGAGATCATCAGAATCAAAACATTCAGGATTTTGACATAGTGATTATTAGAAACGATTGATTGTTGGTTGCTTAACTTCCAGTAGCAAATATTTCATGCATTTTCAGGATGAAGAAAATGAAGATGTTTATATAGTCTGCAACAAGTTATCCAAGTACTGGAGCTACTAAGTTCATTTATGAATACTTATTTCTTACAGCATCATGACATCAACGATGATATCCATACATCCCGTCAGATCAAAGATCACTTATCAAACATCTTCCTCCTTAAAATAAACATGCATATCTCAGTAAAAACTGCACTTTTTATACAATGGAAGATAAGACAACATCCATCTCTCATTCATAATGGCTGGCAGATCAAAAGCTTGCAAAAACAGGCTTCACCAAGCACCTGCTGTTTTTCTTTTGATCTCGGTTAACAATTAAAGATATTCTATGTATACACAAAGCACTTTAAGTTGTAGTTCTTGGCACTTCCAGTGATTTATAGAATATAGGTATTACCAATAATCTAAAGTCACATTTTTTTTCAAAATAGTGTACTGATTGGATATAACTAAAACTATATTTCAGACAGGGATCCAGAAATAAAAAAGGAGGGGGGAGTTTGAAGTCTATGAATCTAAACTTAATCATCAGTAGCATTAATTGGTAAGATGTAAATAGAATTTAAACCACTTTTCAAATTACTATCTTTTAAAATTATCAGCATCAAGATATAAAAGTGAATATTTGCCAGATAAAACCCTAATATATTTTATTTGGTTCCTTCTTTCCTTAATTTTCCACTCAAGAGAGGTCAGTGCATTATCAAACTTAAAACTTTTATTTTGGCAAAACACTTAACAAAAACTTGATCTACTAAAAAAGGCTGGCACAAAAAGGTACATTCTATATGTGCCTGTCCCAATTCAGGAGCCTGTAATTCAGTGGTTGTCGTTTGTTGCTGTATAGCATATTTTTTTTTCATTCATTATTTTGTACATAAATCAGGCCGTTAGTTTACTCTTTTGAATTGTTTTACATTTGTCATTCAGGGGCCTTTTATAGCTGACTATGCAGTATGGGTTTTACTCATTGTTGAAGGCTGTACAGTGACCTATAGTTGTTAATGTCTGTGTCATTTGGTCTCTTGTGGAGAGTTGTCTCATTGGCAATCATACCACATCTTCTTATTTTTACATTATATGCATTCATGAATTCATGGGTAGAATCAGTCATCAGATAAATACCATGAAGAATAAAATCACTAATTTTATCATCTTATTTCAACTTGAATCTCACACTGAGGTTGTGAGTTAAGACCCTGTTGGTGGCAAGATGCATTCATCCACAATTTTTGTTGACTATTGCATTCACATCTTGTAGTCAGATATTCAACCCATATTACCGACATGTGGATCCAGGATTTGGTAAAAGGGGGGACCCCCTGGCAGGCCAATGTTTGGAGTGATACTTGAAAATTTTACGCATTTATCATATATGTAGCTCCATAAAGGGGGACGGGGAGGGGGGAGGGGAGAGCAGTATGCCATGTCAATTTCTAAATGTTCCTGCATCAACTTCCCAGCTTTAGAAATAGATTATCTTAGGCATTAGATATTGGACAAAAATCATAATCAATTATTGGAAGTTATTTTTTGTCAACGATAATTTAAATATAGTTGTCATATATTTTCAGAAACAATAAAAAATGAATATCAGTAATACACCAATCTCGTTTTATTTTTTATGAATGAGTTACATCTGTTGATCCAGGATCAATCGGCCTAAACAACGTCATCGAACAATCGGTTCTTACTGTGACGTAATACATTGTAACATAAGCAAGTGACACAGGAAATTTACGGGAAAGTGGACAAATTAGAAAGTCATCTATAAATTAGTTTATATATGTATTCCATGCTGTAAAATGAGAATGTCCTTTATGGATTAGGAAAACAGAAATATGACTAAATTTTAGTAAGATACAAAAGTTCAAATTAATCAATTTTGACTCATTGAATTACATCCGTTTTCAATTATTTTAATTATAAAAGCAGTTAATTGAATAAAGGCACCACCTATTGTCAAAGATAGACAATTGTTCATTTAAGATAATAGTAACATTTTCAGGCCTTTAATTATAGCGATCTCAGAAAAATTTGTATCAGATATCAGAATGTGAATTCAATTATTGCGATTCACACTATTCACAATAAGAAAAACTCTGAATGTATTCTATTATTGAGCAATAATTTCTGAATTTACAGTAGTTGTCTCATAGGCATTCATACCACATCTTCTAAATTTTATATAAATGAACCAGATACCTTCATCCCAAGTCAGCCTCTTGTTACAGCATCAGTCTAATTCGTAGTGATGACTCACGCCAAACCAAAGCAATATATGTCCGACTGTTTTACTCATCTCAATATAACAGAATCAATGTAACTCTCTCTCTTTCTTCATCTGTTTCTTGTTTTAGACTAAAAAAAATGGAACATTTATTAATATACCTCTGTGATCCTTTGAAGAATATTATGTAATATTTCATGTTAATGTATTGAAATCAGACATTTATACAACGAGGAGTGAAAAGGATTGTCCAATGCATCTGAAAAATGAAGAAGTTATAGACATTAGCTGATTCATATATGTTTGATATGAATAAAGGCGATGTGCGGTACACATAAATGAGACAGCAACCCATCAAAATATGTAAATCTAGGTAGACCTCTAGTGGTTATCATAAATCAGAAGTTTGACTATGGACAAGTGTTCAATTCCTATATTAAGTCTAGGGGGAGCCACTTAATATGTACCCCGGTACTGAATGGATGGGATCCTCTTTGCAAACCAAGGGTTACAATCTAGTTCCCTCCCCTGGATCGTAACCCTTGACTAGAAAAGATGGGAAGGGATAAGTCACTAGAATAGGTCACTTTTTCAAGCTTCATTACATATAAGTATAAGGGTCAGACATTTAGATTTAATATATGGTATTAGGTTGCTTGATTTGATCTTAAGTTTCTGAAATATATAAATTTCAGATGGCATTAAAACTCACAGCCTTAAATACATATCAGATATTTGTCAAATCAAATTATCTGAGACTCCATGGAATCCAGTGATATTGCTTTAGATCTATTTTTTGTATTCAAAATACTGTTAATTCAGAAATTATTGGGTGCATTTATTATTGCGACTTTTGAAGAATTAACAAAAATATGAGTTTAATTATTGCGATTTTAGGAAAAGCTACATACAGATATATATATCAGATATATCAAAATTTGAGTTCTTATTATTGCCATACTCAAGTAGTCGCATTATTCACATTAATAAAAACCTCGCAATAATTTCTGAATTTCCAGTAAATGAAAAGAGTTTGGGTACTGGATGTCTCAGCAGCTTAACCCACCACAAAAAGATTGAAGTGATCCCCCACTCCCCTCCCCCTCCCAGATGTCAAGTTCTGAATCATCCCAAGTCTAGACAACTTACTAATAAATTCAATGAAGATGACAAAATAATTCTGATACATACAACAAATTCTCTATAGACACAAAAGTTGTTAATCTAAAAAAGTTTTCATGTAGCCCATCTGTACTGTAGACATGATTATTATTCAACAAATATGAATTGCATCAAAACATATTTTTTCCGCTCTACGCTATCAGAATGCAAAAGATATAACTATCAATTGGCAGTATTTGCTCAGCTGTTTAATACACTACCAATATATTAAATGGAATTTTAATTTCCTTTGACTGTAATTTCTATCAGATTGTAATTATAAACCATGATAAGAGCTTTTGGCTCTTAAAGTTTTAATTTTAACATCTGTTGATCCTTTCTTATGTAATGCTCTGACATACAAGCGGAAAAAACCTAATATCTGAGAAGGAATTTAAATATTTTTTACTGCATTGTATAACAACAAACTTTTTCAGATAGATAAAAAAATCTGTGTGATTGTCAAAAAAAGAATTAAAACTGACCATTTAGAAATTGATTAGTCTCAGAAAAGAGAGTCAAATCTTATTCTTTTGTTGTTTTTTTGTTGTTGTCAGTGGTGTTTCAATTGTAAGATTTAAGGATTACAAGCAAGGCATGAAGGGTAAAAAAACAAGCTGAAAAAATAAATTTTATTGGAAAAAAAAATTGTAATAAAACACAAAAAAGTGAAAAGGTGTCCATGCACAACAAATTAAGAAAAGTATTCCTATATTATAGAAAATGTTTTCATAGACAGATAGACATTATGGAAATATATTTTGTTTCCCCTTTTCTTTTAGATGAAATAATTATCACAGTACAGCCTAAATGTGGGCTTCAATGAAAGGCCTGGAAGTTAATCTAAATTAATGGTTAGTTATTTTCAAATTTGGAAATTATAAAGTTTTACGGTCTCACATATATAGGTTTAAAATTACTGGCCAATACGTATTCTATTATTGTGCAAATCACCTTTTTTACCCCTAATCTCTATGTATTCAATTACATTATTTAGTAATTCAGAATTTCCCTTTTGGTCCATCACCTTTTGGTCCATCACACTTAAGGCTGTTTTGCTGTTGTAGATATAGTAATCTTCTTTTTTTCAATAAATTATGAGAGAATCGAGGACCTGTGTTAAAGAGGATGTGCTAGAAAAATCCTAAAAATGTTGCTTTTTTTACTTAGTTTTACACTTTAGCAATTTATCTTACTGATTTAAGTTAATTCATGGGTGCTCAGACAGGGTCCTTGGTCCTTTTTTGAAGTCTTTGTATTCTACATATTCTTCTGAAACCAATGGCAAATCCAGGATTTAAAAAAAAGGGGAGAGTCCCTTCAAATTTTGTATTCTCTATTTTGGGGTCAGGCCTTGAAGTAAACAAATCTTAAAAAAAATATGATTTTTTGCTATCAAAGGCTAGCTTGGGCACCACTTGAACTGCCCTTGTGAAACTTTCACTAAAGATTACCTGAAGACATGGGATGCTCTGATTCCTTGTAGATTGTTATTAGGTGTTATCCCTCTCTAATTATCAAAGGGGGAGATCTCAATCTGAAAAAACAATTTTCATTACAATCATAGCAAATATTGTTTTCTAATTTTTTCTTGATTAAAACAATGAATTATTTTGGTCCAAGTCCTTACTTATGTGTGTGTATAAATTGGAGCCAATAAATATGTTGATTCTTAGCCGACACTGACTTCAGGGTTTACAATGTACAACTCAAATAAAATAAAAATTCAGAAACTATTGTTGATGTTATTATTACTGGGAATAGTGTGACTGGTTGGGTATCACAATAATAAGAACCGACGCATTCTGATATCTGATGCATTTATCTGTATGCAGATTTTCTTGAAATTGCTATATCAATCTCACATTTTTGTCCATTCTTCAAAAATCGCTATAATAAATGCAGCAGTAGTAATTCTTTAAATATTTTGATAATATATATTCACAAACTTCTATATGGTCAGCTCCTTTCAAAATAACTCTGCTAAAATCTCAGAAAGTTTTTTTTTAGTTCTACTTTCACTTATCAATTTTTAAGAAAAATTACTTTTTAAACTTTGCACCTGTTCTTGGTAATTGACTCATACAGTATAAGAGCTGAAATGATATATGTGACAAATTGATTAAAATATTAGAATATACTAGTATGCAAATCTGAATTGATTCAGAATGCATGATTACATAGACAACTGCATTAAAAGGAAACAGGTTGTGGTCAGAAATATTTCCTTGTCTCATCTCATTCATCACCAATAAAATTTAGAAAGCTCTATACTTTTTTTAAGTTTGGTACTGTTACTTATTTAAACTTCAGAATTTAATAAATCTTTTTAAATAAAAAATTATCAACACTGCCTTGATACTGACTTAGAAATTTAAAGCTTTAGTTTCGGAGAACATGATTTATTTATCATTTGTAATTGGCTATGAACTAGCTTTCAGTAACTGCAAGTACTAGTTCTTATTCCAGAGCTTTGAGTCTATTGTTTTTATGCCTTGTACCAATTTTTTTAGTTTAGACAATTGCTACTGACTTTTACAGTTTTTTCTTGCATGTAATTTGTGCTGTCACACCGCTGTTCCAGGTTAGGGAGAAGGTTGAGAACTCAAAAATATGTTTAACTCTGTCACAATCTTCATGTGAGGAGCCTGTAGTTCAGTGGTTTTTTGTAAATTATTTTGTTATAAATTAGGCCGTTGGTTTCCTCATTTGAACTGTTTCACATTTTTCGTGTTAATTAAGGTCTTTTATAGCGAACTATATGATATGGGTTTTTCTCATTGTTGAATACTGTATGGTTGGCTTTAATTGCTTACATCCACTTCATTTGAACTCCACTGGATAGTTGTCCTATTGGCAATCATACCACATCTCCTTATTTTTATATAGTGTGGACTATGGGCCAATATAAACCTATTCTGTCTTTTAAAGAAACAATTGAAATTCAAAGTTGATTTGATTATTGATAGTTGGTCCATGAATGTGCCAGTTATCTCCCCTGGTCTTATTCAGGCCTGTGATCCATCATTATCCTTATCACTTTTAATGCATAAATTATCGCATTGTAATAAATTTGTTTTACTGTGTACATTGTACCACATTGTCATATTGTTTTCCACTGTGTATATCTATGTACCACTCTCTATATATAATTTGTTTATCATTTGAATGAAAAGTGGAGTTTTATTAGTTTTTAGATACACTTTATTCCTAATCTTTCATAACATGCAAAAAAAGAACATAACAAACATCTATACTTACTGTACTGGTTTACTATTCTCAACTGGGATTTTCTTTCCATCTATTTGCAAGACACTTATCCATCCTTTTTTGGAATTCCACTTTGCTCATGCAAGAACACATCCTTCATTTTGTATATTCAAACATAAAAAAGACTAATGACATACATGTACACTCCTCCTAAACAATATTCTTACCAAAAAAGGTTGATCTAAGTGAGTTACTAAGGAACAGACCCAATCCCAAAAACTTAACCTGACCAAATTTAGGTTTAGAATAAATATCAGATACAGATCTAAACACTGAGGAACTGCTCTCATCCGGACGCCTGGAGCAAAACATTGAGGTAGAGGCCAAATGTCATGTCAGATAGATCTCATCCTGACCACTGCAGCATAAAATTGAGGTCAAGTACAAATGAAATACTCCATTTAACCAAACTCTTTACCACAAATCGTTGACCTATAAGACCAGACATAACCAAAAACTAAACATTACCAGTGAAATGTGAAATTGAGGTGAAGGGCATAACAAGGGTGTCACTCAAACAAACATAACATTACTCCTCCTAATTGCAACTAATTATTATACATAACATTAATACATGTTGATCTACTATGTATAGTATAAACTGCATGAGGAACAGACCTCATCCTAAAAACTTAATGTGACTACTGAAGCATGAAAATGAGGTCAAGGTTAGATGACTATGTTTGGCTGA